AAAAAAGCTCGCAAGTATAATTGCCATAACAATATTTGTAGAAACAAAAGTGTGTGGGGGGGCTATATCACGTTGTTTGGAAAAAGATTGGAATTGATATGTCAGATCAGGATTGATAATATAACAGACCATTCTTTGAATTTTGTCAAGAATCTCGAGATATACAACTGGCGAACAAAACCAGATTAACCAGCAAAAAAAATCAATGCAAGGAGGAAAGGTTGATTTATAAATGTGCAAGTTAGATTGTGACGAGAAAAATTGATTGGCACGATGCAGTGAAATTTTCTTAGACGTAGTAATTGATTCGCTATAGTCGTTCCAGAAAGAAAGAAAAACTCTTAAAGAGTAGTCTTATCACAGTCATAGGAAAGCCACGTCACGAAAGGTAAGAAAGCGACAGGAGATGATATGCCTGGTTATAATTGATTGTATAGCAGCCCAATCTCTGGATTTTTTCAAGAATCTTGAGAGGTACAAGAAGAGCAGCATAACAGATATGGCAACATTATTCAATACAACGACGAATGATGGATTTATTAATTTGCAAGACGGAAACGATGTTTGACGTGACACATTTATTGCAGAAAAATTAGCTATTGACTCGTGAGACAAAGAATGCGTAGAGCGTGACACCCATTAATTCTAGCATCAACCATGCCGATGGCAGGGCAGAAAATGTTATCTGTGGTGATTCAATAAAAGCAGATTTTTGGGGGACGCTTAAATTTGTAAGCCATTTCTTGCACCAGTTAACGACTGATTGGAAATCATTTCCAAGAGCAGTTGCCAGCTTTACTTTGAAGGATCTGTCAGACTTTCTACTAAGTCAGGGGTAAATGCTTGTGTTACATGTACATAAACCTAAATAGAAACTGATGTGATCGGAGATACCATTGCTGAAGTTCAGAAATAAGTCAGGTCACAGGATAGGCCAATGTGAGACCCCAGGCTTAGTATGAAATGAAATGAAAAAATATATTATTATCATATGAAGTTTGTAGTTATTAAAAATGTTCAATTTTTGCGTGCATGTAGATACCTGACAAAATGTAACAAAAGAATTTAATTTGAATCATGGTGACAAAATAGTATACAAATATAAATCTCTCATATATATATATATATATATATATATATATATATATATATATATATATATATATATATATATATGTAAGCAAATGTAAATGGATATAGATCCGACAGAATGAAGAAAAATTTGGAAAAAACAAACCAAAAATCCTTAAATGCAATTATGTTGTTTAAAATGAATGATCCTAATAGAATTCTTTTCATTTTCTTTTTCATTCAAAATAATCAAAACTTTTTAGGAATACGTTTTGAAAGCGTCGCCCATGTGACGACAACGTGACCATGCTAAACGAAAAGCTGATCATTTTAAAAATTTTCAGTTATCTGTTTTGGATAAGACTTATTGTTTATGTCCATCGTCTTTGTCAAATTGAACTGAATTGTATTTTAATGAATATTGTCTTGAAGAAGGTTTATTAAACCGAAACGTTTAACGTCAGACGTCGACATTTCATTCATTTTAAACAACATAATTGCATTTAAGGATTTTTGGTTTGTTTTTTCAAATTTTTCTTCATATATATATATATATATATATATATATTTGGTTGGATAGATGTGTGTTTGTGACCCTGAGTTTCACGCTTTAGCGATCCTCAGACAAACTGATTAATTCTTTAAAAAATTTGGGTTTATGTAAATTGCGTGTATTGGTGTTATTGTGGAAGTGTTGGGGGAAACTTCGTCGTTTTGTCATTCATCGTACTAACGCAAACATCGATGTATGCAGAGACATATACATACTTGGTCGTCCGTCGGGACTCATACATTTATAAATATATGTGGGCAGTTTCGGATATGACATATGTATGTATACGGTTGGTGTTATGTCTATACATACGCATTTGTATGTTGAAATGTTGAAATTTAAAGGTTGGAAGTGTGGCGGAAATGTCTCGTTAATGTCTCGTTAATGTATATTATGTATTTTTCCGCTGGAAAATATTTCCTCGCATGTATGTATATACGTCTGGTGGGGTTTGTGTAAAATTATGATAGGTAAAAATTATTAATATTTATATTTATTTTTAAGTTTTGAAAAAAAAAAATTGGGGTTTATTTGTTATATTTAAAGCTGGTTATTTGTTTGTATTTGGTGACTGTGGATATGTAACAGGTAGAAATTTGTAATCCTTATTGGGTAATTTATATGGGGATGTTTAATATTCAATGTGCTGGGTGAGAGAAGTACCGCGCATATAATATATAAATAATTATACATATATATATTTATATTTATATACACTTTTCACACACACACACACACACACACACACACACACACACACACACACACACACACACATATATATATATATATATATATATATATAATATATTTTATAATTTTTCAAAAATTCTAACAGAAATATGTCATAAAATCACTACAAAATAGCCATTTGTTTCAACACTTCTGGTGTCTTATTAAGTGATGATGTTGAATGTCATTGATAAGACATCAGAAGTGTTGAAACAAAATGGCTATTTTTTAGTGATTTTATAACATATTTATGTTATAATTTTCGAATAAATAGTTATATTTGCTCTACTATGTATTTAGCACTCTTTTAAGAATAGTATTTGTTGGCTATTGGAATTTATTCCGTATACATCAATCCTATACTTAGGTTATATATATATATATATATATATATATATATATATATATATATATTATGAATAAAATGACAATAGGAAAACTGGTAATTGCTGACGACATTTTCGTCCAATGTGGACTTTATCAAAGCAAAAATACGAAAATTTTCGTATTTTGCTTTGATAAAGTCCACATTGACGAAACGCGTCAGCAATTACCAGTTTTCCTATTGTCATTTTTATTCATAATATTGTCTTCTACCGATTAAATCGGAGAAATTTTCATATATATATATATATATATATATATATATATTATATTTTATTTAAAAATATTTTACATCGCTACACGGAAATTTCTATGTTTCGGAACTTTAAATTTGTTCCATTTTCAAGTGATGTCGGGTACCTCTTGATGAAAATCTTTTCATCAAAAGTTACCCAAAATCGCGTGATAATGGAAGAAATTTAAAGTTCCGAAACATAGGATCTTCTGTGTCTCTATGTAAAATATGTTTTAAATAAAAATATTAAAATATTATGCCTTACGTTGTATCGACTACTTTCTTAGCGTCAATAATTTAAAATCTCAAATCTATATTTTAATATGTGTTTAATATTTATAGCCGGTTTCATTTAGATTACTTTCTTTTTGTTTATGCTTTTATCATTTTTGTTATTTAAAAATCCAACACTCTGATAATAGAAGTCTTGGCAAGAAGGTGGAAATTTGTAAGGAGTCGAACGAAAATATACTCTGGATGAACTAGAGATTAAAGCACGTTAAAAATATTTTCGTTTTAATAAACTGTTTTCTCCTTCAAAGCGATGTAACAGAAACTAACACGAACAAGAAAGTAAATTAAACGGTTTTAACATGACAAATTGTGATTTGAGAAAAAATGTTTAAAAAGCAAGACACGCTGGCTGCTCAGAACAAAACTGTAGACGCATATATCGTGAAGGTAAGCAAATAGATTGTTTGAATTCTTGATTGATCAGTTTTCTACGGTTTCTTAAAGCCAGAAAATGTTGTTTTTTTAATTTTAATATTAGTTTTGGCTGGGTATATGTTGTGTACGATACACCTAATTTACATAAGTGGAGTACCGACCATATAAATATGGGTTAGTACCGGAAGACGGGAGATAGTTTCAACAATGAAGACATCGAATCATTGTTGACTCTGCCCGACTGCGATTTAATCAAATAATTATGCAACACAAAAGTCTTCCCAAAATATAACAAAACTAATATTTAAATAGTTTTGGTACCTTTTCCTTGGGAAGACTTGTTTCAATACATTTTGTTAATCGCAGTCGGGCATTTCTCGTCGCGATGTTATTCCATACTTATCCAAGTCTTCCGGTACCATCCCATATTTATATGGTCGGTACCATTTATGTAAATTAGTGTATCGTATACAACAGTATATAATAATAATTTGGTCATAAACGTTTACTAATTTACCCCTTGATGAGGGAGAAGAGGTGGACTAATATCTTTTCTAAGAGTATGTTCATGGACAACCCCAACTAGAATTAGAACTCGGTTCTCTGATTAACAATCCCTGTTATTATCCATTAAACCTCCCACTCATCCAAGATTACAGTGTCTGGTATTCTCAAGCAGTCACCTATCTAGTTACTGACTAGGTTTGACGTTGCTTAACTTCGCTGATTTTACGGGAATTAGCGTTTCAAAGTTATGTGGCCATAAGACGCAAAGACAAAGGAAGAATATCAAGAATATCGTTGAAAAATTTTGAAAGAGACAAAAACAATTCAAAAGAAGTGTTATTTGAAAAGATATTGTATAAGTAAAGTTATAGGTAAGTTATTTGTAAATTCTTTGACACCTGCTCAGTCCATGGTATTCTAATCATCCTTCTGTAGAGCAATATTTATGCGGCTTCAACTCATTTCTTTCACGGCGGTCAAAAAATACATAAATCCTTAACATCTGTCTTCCTAATTCCTGTTATATAATGTTGTGTTTAATTACTTTTACTCATGACCTTTCACACTTAGTTGGTCGTTGGTTGATTTTTGTTAGCGGGACATCAAACTCTATGGGCTATTTAATGGCGATATAGAAATATTTTGCATACATTATTTTTTTTTCTTTTTGGTTTTAATAATACAAGTCTTACTAAATATATAGGAGTAGAAGAGATGGATTCATAATTTTCCCAATGTTATTTGTTCGGAAGTAAATATAAGGAACTCGTTTGGAATAGAAACTTGGCTCTCCGATTACAATTCTGTACAGTTATCCATTACACCACTCGCACATCCGAGTTTTACCAATCTACTATTCCCAAGCAGTCACCCATCTAGTTACTGACCAGGCTTGACTTTGCTTAACTTTGGTGATCATATGGGAACTAGTGTTTCAACATGATGTGGCCGTAAGTCCCAAATATAGAGGAAGAATATAAAAAAAATGTTGAAATATTTTGAAACAGAATAAAAGAAAAAACAAGTCGTGCTAATTGAAGATATATTCTAATCGGAAAAATTATAAGTGTCTTAAAAGTTCATGTTGCTGCCAGAAATTTGTAAGTTCTTTGACAATAGGTTATTTTGTGTAGTACAGGTGGTAACTATGAAAAAGTAAAAGAAATAAAAATAAAAAAAAACTATGCTTTTTCAATGTCCGCCATCGAGAATATTGTCCATATTGCAGAAAAGGTCAAAGTCATGTCGCATCAATTTCATGAAAATGAAAGATAGCAAATAACAGGAAAACATCATCAAGATCATGAGCAAAATTCTATTAGCCTCTCCAAGGATTACTATTCTAATTTTAATTTGGAGCATCGACACTCAGTACTGGACAATCTCAGCTTCCGCCATTATGGGTTTCAGACAGTCCTATCAGACTTGCATTTGTTGGTCTTTCATTTTCTTATCTAAATGTTTTTTAAACCATTTTTATTTTATCCCTAAATTACCTATTTCTTTTCATGTGCATTAAAGCAGAAATTAATTACATATTCCCCTGGCTGGAGCCTTGTGCGCCTGGGTGCATGTTTATTTGTTTCCTTTTGTTTAATCCGATTAAATCAATCTGACTAAGAATTGTAGTATATTATGTACTAAAACAAACACAACACCTTCAACTTATAATTTTCCTAAACCTTTTGATTTCAGAATTATTTTCGTGGAGAAAATTTCCATTCGATTCTGGAAAGAAGAAATAAAAAGTAACGAAAGGAAGAATAGCAAAGGTAGACATGGGAATAAATAAAGGAAGGAGGAAGAAAGAAAGAAATGAATGAAAGAAAAACGAACGGATGAATGAAGGAAAGGAAGAATGATGAAAGAAACATTGATTTTCAAATTTATTTTCTAGAATTAAATACCTGCTTTTAAAAAACATGATAGGTGAAATCATAGGGAGATTTTAAGGTGAAAGGTAACGTAAATTAATGTTGATTTTGATAAGAAAGAAAAAAAAAACGTCCAGACGAATGCAGGAAAGAAAGAAAGAAAGAAAGAAAGAAAGAAAGAAAGAAAGAAAGAAGGAAAGAAAGAAAGCGAATAAAAGACAAAAGGAAGAAAAAATTGAAGAAAAAAGAAATAGAAAGAAAGAAAGAAAGAAAGAAAGAAAGAAAGAAAGAAAGCGAATAGAAGACAAACGGAAGAAAAAACTGAAGGAAGAAAAGAAAAAAAAGGGAAGGAAGGAAAGAAGGAAGATGGAAAGGATAGAAGAACTGGTAAATAAAAAAAGAGATGAAAAAAGAAAAACGAAACAAATGGAGTGGATGAAAATTAAAAGAACGGACAAAAGAAAAAAAGAAATAAAGAAAAGAGGGGAATGGAATTAAAAGAAAGAAAAATGGACGAAAAAAAAGAAAGAAAGAATTAAAGAAACAATGGAATAATTAATGAACAAATAAATAAATAAATACATAAATAAATAAATAAAGAAAGAAAGAGAAAATAAACAAAGACATGAATAAAGAAAAATGAAACAAATGGAATGGATGAAAATTGAAAAATAGGCAAAAGAAAGAAAGAAATGGAGAATAAAAATAAGTACGAAATAAATATTAATAGGTATGCACATTAAAAGAAGAAAAATAATGAAAGACAATTAGATGAGAAAGAATGTAATGACAAAATCATTTGGTCGATCAAAATAAGTTAAACAAAAAAATATAAAATTAAAACACAAAGACGTAAAAGAAAATAACAGAAACAGAACCTAATTAAATCCCTTGGAAAAAATATTTTTTTCACTAAGGATGAATTTATTTTATTAATTAATTTTGTCCAACTGATCCGATCAGAACCTGATTCCAATGGAGCATGATCCATTCGCAGCAAGCCAGAACACGTTCACTTGATCCACAAGGGTCAGGCTCCCGGTAGAAATGTGTAGAGGAAGGGAGCCGACCCCTAAATTTTTGTCAGCAATACTTTTACATTTTTCAATTAAAATTATTCTACCTTCTAATTATCTGTGATATTTCGTGCCTGCCACATGAGAACACTTCATGCTCTTGTTGCTTTTAGATTTTATCTTATTCGAAAATTTCCATTTGTATAATTAATTTATTCATCACGTATCGCTTGTGTGTAGATATTGGTGTGTCTGTTCCTCATAAAGAATTTCTTTTGTTTGAGTTTCAATCTAAGGATCTTGTTTAAATGCATCAGCTGAAGCTGAAATCTGTAAATAAATTTATGCTGCGCTGGCAGTTAAAGGTATGTTTTAAAATATATGTAACAGATCATATGTTGATAGTATATACGATTATATGTATCAGATTAATTTATCTATTTGGTAAGACGATGGGAAATAAGAGAGAGAGAAAAATGTAAAATTGCACTGGAAGTGCGACAAATGCCTTCCAAAAGCTGAGCAACGTATTAAGAAGGACAAAATTCGTTATAGACAAAGACAAGAATGCTAACATGTAATATGAATTCGATTTTAGGAAAGAGAACGGTAAACAATTTGCTCAGAAATTAAGAGGAATGGTACTGAATATACGATAGACGGAACATTTGAGAAACGATGAAATTGGCCTTAACATCAATAAAAACAACAATGAACTTTATGGGACGCATACTGAGGAAAGAGGGTTTGAAAAATTTGACACTCGCGAAATAGATTGTGTGTCCAAGAATAAATGTAACCCAAGAAATTGAACGCCATATATTTTCTGTAGACAAACTATATACAAAGCACATATTTCAGAAAACGAGACAAGTTATCAAATCTATGCAACAAACAACATGTGGCTCTTCTACTGCGAAATTCCATCGTTATTTATAGAATATGCTCCAAATGTACTCCGTTCTGCTGAAGTCACATTTGAATTCTACGGGCGAATTTGTCGATGACGCTGATACTCACCTTTTGGTATAGCTCTGATTGCTTGAGTGATTGCTGCCTTTAGATCTGAGAGGGTGTGAAGGTTCTTCCTGTAGACCCAATCCTTCAGATACCTACATGAATAAAAATTGAGGTTGGGGGAAGGTTTGCATTTACAGCTGAAGAGTCGGGAAACTTCTGATCCAGCCACTTCAGAAAGAAATTTGATATATGTGGGGTGTCCTCATCTTGCTGGCACCAATTGTGCCCCCTCTGAACCCTGATTGCACCTATCATGGGAGTATTTGGTAAAGTTAAGAACATGGCACCTTCTACGGACGGATTTCTTCGGAATCCTTCCTACGGAAACTCGAACAGCTACTATGTTTTCAGGAGAACATACAGTAGGTTTTCTTCCAACTTTGACTGCTGGAGACATTTTTGTCCTGTTGCTGATTGTCTCAGTAGCCGAAAACTTCTTGACCTATCGTTAATGTCAGTTTTGCTAGGGGTTTTATTCTTGTCATTCGGAATTTCGCGATGGCATGTTTAGAGGAATTTCGCTCCAATTTTCTCAGCACACAGGACATTTTCTGTAAAAGGTATTGTAGTTCTGGCTTTGCTATCTTCTCAGCTTTCTAAATATAAAATATAAAAGCAAATTATTAAAAATCAACAAAATCACATGCATTTATTTGGGTTACATTTATACTGGGACACCTTTTATCAATGGATGTTTGAATGATATTGTTTAAGAGCATACAACTCTCTTGTTATTTAATACCGAAAACTAAATATTTTTGAACACAATTTATGGTTTCAGCTAATTATATTTTGGGCGCAATTTTATGCATTCAACTGCAGATAAAATTTACTGTTGGTCATTTTAATATAAAATATATTATTGGTAATTTTACTATAAATGTACTGCTAGCTAGTTGGTATTTTTTATATATAGAATTTTTTATATAATAATGTCATTTTACATTTTCATAGAAACTTGTGCAAACAACCAGGGTCAGGTTGAACCTGAGGGTAACAGCAATTAAGTAGTATTTCCATGCTCCCCAAAATATCCTGATCAGATACCATGCTGCCGGATGTAGTATATCGTCATACCAAGGATTCTATATGAAGGTTAAGAGCGACGGAGAGCAACAAAGCGTTGCTAGCGTAACAAGTGTTTTAGATAAGTAGAGAAACATTTTCTAAAGAGGTAGAAAAGTGTCCAAACTGGGCTTAGACTATGAAATATAGAAAATTATACGAGCTTTGATCGCAAGGGTCTTAAAGGAGACAAGAGGAAGAAGAAGAGGAAGCATAAGAAGCGAATGAAAAACTGAAAATTCTTAGGTTAATTTCCGGAATATTTGTTTATTTTTTAATCATTTCACGAAAATGAAGGCAATAAAAACTGCAAAAAAGAAGGGATTACTGTGAGTGAATGACAGAGAGAGAAATCAAAGAACAGCATCGAAGAAGACAGATTACGACAATTGGCATTGCATTCAATCATCGACAATCACAGTTGATGGGAATACAGGAGTTCCAAAAGCGAGAAGAGCAATAGAACAATCGTTGGAGCTGATTTGCGTATCTTTCTTCTTTTGATGTGCCATGTCCTTTCTGGACGTAAGCGATCATGGCTCTCCACATCCGTCTATCCATTGCTACCTTCTGCTTCCTCTCCCAGACCATCTTCTGTCATCCACTTGCTTAATCCCGCTAGGTATGTAACGCGATGTTTTCACTTGTCTCTCTTTCCCTCTATTCGACACGTGAGTATTACATTCTCCAGATTCTCCTTCTTCATTATGTGCCCCAGAAAATTTAACTGTCTCTTTCTGATATTAAGTATAAGCCTCCTCCTTGTTGACAATCTCTCTAAGATCTCATCGTTGCTTACACACATCCTTCTGTAGACTCAAGTCTCTTCTTCATCTTTGAGGAAATCGTCCAACATTCGCTGCCGTAAAGAAGGACAGATGTCACGTAACAGTTCATTATTCTTTTCTTTATTGTCAAAGATACCCTCGTGTCTTAAAGTACTCTGCCCAGCTTTTAGGATGTGTCCTTGGCCATCCTA